TGTCTTCCAAACTTTTGTGTCTACTCTCGATGGCGGTACAGAAATGTCTCCCAAACTGACGCTCAGATTGTGCACGAAAATGGACGATTTGAGAAGAGGAGATACGATTTTTCGAGCATTGTGACTCGTTTCTTTATGGTTATAGATTGTCAACAACTATAAACACGAGCTGCAAAGCTCGAATAATCGTATCTCCTCTTCCCAAATTGTTCATTTCTGTGGACAATCTCAACGTCAATTAGAGAGACATTACTGTACTTAGGGCAACTCCGGCGATTCGAGAGAAGCGCAGGAACTGTTACAATTCGCGGTACAGAACGAATAGAACGCGTCGGAGATTCCAGGCTCGATAAATATCGCGGTTTCGACAGCACCTTCACCGACAGCTGGGAATTTCATAATCGTATCTCCTCTTCCCAAATTGTTCATTTCTGTGGACAATCTCAACGTCAATTAGAGAGACATTACTGTACTTAGGGCAACTCCGGCGATTCGAGAGAAGCGCAGGAACTGTTACAATTCGCGGTACAGAACGAATAGAACGCGTCGGAGATTCCAGGCTCGATAAATATCGCGGTTTCGACAGCACCTTCACCGACAGCTGGGAATTTCCTTTTCGGCGAACGCAGTCCGGTTGCTTTGCTACCGATCGGCGAGCTCGCCTCGACGCAGGCAGTTATTAGGTGGCTAGACCCGGTGTAAAACGTCGCTATAATGATCGGTTTGCTAACTAACTGGCTATTTCTCCACTCCTCTCGCGTCCCCGCGCGCACGGTGTATAAACATTCACGTGTGCATACGTGTATAGACCGGGGCGCGCACTTAGCCGGCGTACCCGCGGGCACCGTCGATACTGTTTACACCGTAGTAATTTGCTAATGGCCTGGCCGACACGATGAATTCGGGATCGAGCGGCTGCGTGGTCTGCATCTCGATCGCGCGCAATCCGGAGGGACCCACGCGGCCCGAACGATCGAGGATCGATCACCGGCGGGACACGCCTCTGCTCGTTCTCGTCTCGCCCTTATCGTTCTTTTCGCGTTATCGACGATTCCTCGGCTCTGCTGCATCAACCAGCAACATCGCAATTTTTCTCGCGATCCTGCCGGCTTCACGACGTCCTATTAAAATGTTAAAAGAATCCGTAATGTGCACGATTTAACAGAATTAATCGACAATTTCGTCTTTCGTACGGGAATTCTTGACGAGCTTCGTTTCTGTGCGCCAATTTTGGAAAAGATTTTCGCTTTTTGTCGGAATTGTATAAAATGCGCATTCTTCGGCAGCCTAAACCGTTTCAGAGTGCTTTTCTAATTGCTACATTTCCTTCAGGCATTCTATCGCGTTTTTCTTCTTCTTTCTTGAGTTTCATACCGAAGTATTTGATTGTAAGTTTTTGCATTTTATTCGACCTTCTGGGATTGTTACATTATTATTCTTTCACTGGAACAAAGGGTTACCGGGTCGATCCTTAAATGATTATTATTATCATTATTAAGAACTGAACGGAGTTCTGCAACGTGAACTTATTAACGTGAACAATAAAGTTATCGCTGCTGTTATTAAGAATTCAACGGAGACTTGGAACGTGGACGTTCGGTTGCACCGCGCCGCTACATAATTTTCTCGAACAATGAAAATGCATACCTACCTGGCTGGCTGGCCGCAGGTTCCGCCGGTTCAACTAGCATCACAGGTGAAGTTACGTCGACTGTTTCGCGAGAAGGACAGAGCCGTCGAAGGAACCGGTAATTTCGAGGCGCGGGGCGATTTGATTGGCCGGTGCAGCGGCGGCGATCGTCGAGGAACAAGACGAAAAGAGAAGGAAAAAGGAGAGCGAGGAGCGCAACAGGGGTGCAGCGGCACGTAACATTTTCAGGAAATTAGAGTGCAGGTGGGGGCCTGCATTACGTGTTGCGGAAGGTGTCATTAAATCGCGTCTATTATGCGTTTAGCCCGGAATCGGTGTTGGTTCGCGCTCGATATCGCCGGCGCGAGTGTTCCGATGCGCCGTTGCACAGACGCGACGCGGCCGGCCGATGCAACTCACCGTGGCGCAATGCGAGAGGGGAGGAGACCCGTGGTCCGCGAACCACTTAAGGCCGCGTCAGTTTTGATCGGCGGATCATTTGGACGGTAACCGTTCGATTTATCAGCGCGAGGATCGTTAGCGCTCCGAGGGGAGCGCAGGCATCCACGACTCCGCTAATTAGCTGACGCGCATTAATGGCCCGGGACTCCATTAAACTGTGAAATATTTAAATAACTCGTCGACGGGCGTGCCCGGCCGCGAATTACTTGTCATAAGTCAGCCCCGGAGTGCTGTTCGACGATCCTCTCCGGATGATCTGCTCTCCCTCTCTCCTTCTCTCTCTCTCTCTCTCTCTCTCTCGCTCTCTCCCTCTACCTTTCTCCTCTCTCTTGCCTCGCCTACTGCATGCCGGGTAAATGCGGCCGTGTAATGGTCGCCCGGTTTTTCGTTCAGGAAGTTGACGAGCCTGCAAATTAATACCCACGCGAGCCGCTGCGCGATATTTCAGCGATCTAGACTAAATTGAATTTCGGCGGTGATACGCTCGCGCGAAATCCTGTTATCAATCAGTTGCGGAATAGGGCAGATGTACCGGTTGTGGCCGGCGCGCCTTTTCTAGCCGCCTATGTTATTATTCATATTTTCTTCTTCGGAGTTGGCTACAGTTTCCTAGCAATCAACGGAACCTCGGACTAGCAAATATATTGTTTCCGGCGGATATGTACAATTATCGAACAAGAAAATGCGACGCAAAACAAAATTCGTAGCAGAAAGGATAAAACAGCGGAGAGCAGAAGAAACTAGGGAGAACGGATTAGAAGAAAAAGAAGGAAAGCGGAGGGAAAGCAAAATACGAAGAATGAAAGGAAACGTAAGACGCGAATAAGATTTGTTGGAATAAGTGAAATAAAAACTAGTTTTACGTTAAGATATTACGTTATTATATGTTGTATCGACAAAGTAAAGCGTGGAAATGCGAAATGTTCTAAAACATTATGCTGCGTTTCAATCAGTTATGACTAATACCGTTTCATGGTATTTCATTTTTCATTTTACCCACATTTCTGGTCACAGAAATGGTAGTAGACATGGCCAGAACTCGTGCACAAGAGACCACAAACGTTGAAAAAATGCGAATTTTACCAATTTTCTAATGTAATAATTCTTAAGTCATTTTGTCGAATCTTGAGTTGTTTTGTGCGAGGTAGATATGAAAACTAACGATATTAACCAATCTATTAACCCTTTGCACTCGACGTCATTTTAACTCGAAATCCAAAATAGTTTTTCTGACCTATAGTATTTCCATTTTGTATAACCTAGTGTATTTTAGACATTTGAAATTGAATTTTGTGATTACACTTTGCACAGTATTTTTAAATATAAACAGATTTGATAATGTTGACATTATTTTGAAGCGAGATGTAAGAATTTTTAATGGCGCCTTAGAGTCACCACTCGAGTGCAAATGGATAAAACTTGCATAATACTTACGCGACGCAAGACTTTAAAAAATATTTCCTTCGAAATTCCTATAAATCCTTAACGTGGCCACAATCGGTGCGTCTACCCCACTCGTTTCAGCAGAAATTACTTGGTCCGGAGGATCGTCTGGAACGGCGTGCTACTTTTTTTTTAAGCAATCGTTTCGCCACGATCGCTGAAACGTGGCGCGCGCTGGATTTCCTTAGTGAAAGGTGACGTCGAATAAAATAGAAACTTGTTGCATTTCAATTTTCACTGTTTTTCCCTCTTTTTCCATTCCTCTCTCCCATTACTCGCCGTTCATCGCTCTCACTCTCGTCGTAAACGCACGAACTCGTCGCTAAAGAAAAAACGAAGTTTAAAAGGACGTGTCTAAGATTAAGGACAACGGACACCGGTGTTCGCTAAGATCGAGGGAAACCGCGGCGACTTCTTGAAAAAATATCGGCCCGCGGCTCCCGGTTCCGCTCGAGATCCCTGATTCTGAAAGCGATTGCGAATTACTTCGGTTGTCTGTCTCCTCCGTCGTCGTTCGCACGATCGCGAGGGATGCAACGACGATCGGGAACAACCCTATCGATCGGTGAGGTTGCCGACGAGTTATGGCTGTACGAACACGCTGTCATGATCCGCGGCATCTTCGCGCCGTGAACAGGTCGGTGCTGATTCCGGGAGAACTGACGCATACGTCGTTGAATCTATTTACATGGGACGCTTACAGTACGCTAGGAATGCATATACAGTCGACGGAACATAGCGCGACTATCGTTTAAAAGTTTCAAATTAAAAGAACGCGTATATAAATAAGTACTTTCTCCTTATCTAAAAACATCGTGTGACGGATCGATGCGATCGCGGCCGGCGAGAGTTCTCGGAACGATCGATCTTTCGGTTTCCCTTCCAAACGCGATTTAACGGCGCGCTCTCGCCGCGAAATCCCCGTCGATTGCAAAATATTCAATATTCCGAGATCGAATTCCACGGGGAAGTGGCGTCGGAGACGCCAGGCACGTTACTATCTTCCAAATATCATTTAGGCATCGTTCGCAGGGAACGTTGACCGAAAGACGATCGCTCTCGCGAGGCTCCGCCGCGCCGCGGTGAATCTGCTACGTTTCGTCTTCTCTAACTTAACCGGTTACGTTCTCGGTCGCGACGTGAAAAATTTCAGTCCGAAAACTATTCCGGACCTCGGCTACGATCTGTACATTAATTTCATAAAACCGTCGGTTAATTCACCCACGCTAATTCTCGGCTAAAAAAAAGCATGTCCTTCGAAACCCTTCCCGGATCCCGGGCTTTCGCGTCGCGACGCCGAGAATCTCTCTGGACGGACATCGTTCGATGATGTTTGCTCAAAGCTCGGTCGTGAATACGTTCCCGTTTCTCCGATCCGACGGGCGACCGTAGATCGGCCAGCGGACACGATCTCCGATATCGGACGATCCAGGATCCGGCGAAGATTCGCGAAGTCGCCGGCGCGAATTTCCGTCGCGATCGAGGCGAACGCGATATCAAAGCCGTTCCGTGGCGTTCTATTTCGCGGATCGTCGCCTCGCCGACACTGTACACACTGTATACAGCAACTCCACGCAAAAAAAAAAACTAGAAAGAGTCTGGTTGGTTAGTGTTCCGGCCGCCGTTCGGTGTCGCGAACTCGGCGTCGCTCGAGCGGAAGGCTGAAAACAAGCTCGTTTTGTACGTGGACAGGTATGTGTCTGCTCGCGACGAATGCCGGGAAGATCAACGGCGATCGACGCGATTGCGATCCACGCAATAAAGCACAGACAACGCCAACGACCACGAGGAAACGCCGGTTTGTTTACCCATGGTCGTCCGTGTTGCCAACGCAGATGCAACCAGTGCGCACCGCCGTTTCTCGTTCCGTGGTGGCTACACCGTCGCTAATCCTTCGTCCGAAGTTACCTAGAACTAATCGAGAGCTGTCGGATCCCATATCGGTCGCTAGACGGTCGGACGATAGGACCCGTTCCCCGAGGACCAGAGTTTTATCGTCTCGAGGCTCCGAAGCTCGTAGGCGACCCGAAGCCGGTCCGACGCTCTATCGCGTTACAAAGGCACCAGTTGATCACAGGAAGAAGAAGCCGGGGCTCTCGAAACTGTTGCGTACTCTCGAAGACCGCTACGAAGACCGTTCGTTCCGCGCGGATGTCGCGGGGAACCGAATTTTCGAGCCGCTGTATGTTCCGGTTGCGTAGGATCTTCGAAGATCCGAGGACCGAAAAGCGACACGAGAATCAAACTTGGAACTTCTGGGGTCGTAGTAGGGACCGTAACGGAGCAAATGGTCTTCGTAACCGCTCCGAGAACCGGGATTCGTCGAGCCCCGGAGTAAACAGTCAACCTTCCCTCGCGTACACGCCGTCGAAGCACGGTGCAAAGTGTCCGGTCCACTCGGATGGAAGTTCTTTGGCTCGTGTCCGTTCGCGAGCGAAGCGGGGCTTGCGTCCGTTGGTAGCCGCGAACGACGAGCGGATCGTCGTATCGTCACCCCTTGGCTCGGTTCGCTCGAGGGGATGGCGCCCGGCCGGCTGGAGATCATGGTCGGATTGCGACTCGTAGGTCAGGCGAGCAGCGTGGCGTTTCCTGTTGTCGTACCTAGCTTCGTGGGCCGCCAGGTCCTCGTCGCTGCTCGTTCAGCTGATCAGGTCGCCGTTCTTGCGCAGCATCTCGAGGTGAAGCTCGTACTCCCTGGCTTTCAGTCGGAGGGACGCGATGCTATTGGTCCGCCGGTCGATGTCCGGCAGGCCGACGCTACCAGTCGGCGATCCTTGCGGCGAGCTCGCCGTCGGCGCCGGCTGCGGGACCGCCGGGTGCGGCAGACTGATCGCCGGCGCCGGCGGTGGCGGTGGAGGCGGCGGCGAGCCCTGGACCATTTTCGGCCGCTGCGCCGCCGATATGTTTGCCAGCAGGCTCTGGAAGGACGCGGCCGACGTGTAGGGCAGAGGCATCCCCGGCGGTAGCAGCGGTGGCGGCGCCCGATGATAGGGATGGTTCGCGTAACTACTAGGAAGGACCGGCCCGTGACCCAAGGGCGGGTAGCGGAACGCGTCGAAGGGTTTCCGCAGACCGAACGTGCCCAGGTGGGCGAAAGGGTTCGGCAAGGTCGGCGCGACCACCGCCGACGGTGGGGGTGCGCCCGAGCCCAAGTACGGATTGTACGGGTGAGCCTGCGGGCCGACCTTCTCCTGCTTCCGCCACTTCGCCCGCCGATTCTGAAACCAGACCTGCAACCAAATTCGTTCGGTTAGCTTCCGTTCCGTCACGCCGCGCAGTGGCCTATTTGCTAATAATGCCCGCGCCGGTATTATTCCAACCTTATTACTATTGTTATTCCTTGGCTAATGCTCGTCAGACTTATGTCGTCGAATTCGTCTTAATGTCGGCTACAACGTTATGGAATAAAATATGTAGCGTGTTCAGCGTAACGATCGCGCCGATTTTTGAGACATTTACGCTAATCTGACGGCAAAATGTTCGCGATAATAGTTAATACGTTCTTTGAGGAAAACGAATTGCAATAATGCAAATCTCGAAAAATTTTTTATCCGATGAAAAACGTATATAGCCTTAATTTTCTTAACACTAGATTTACGGAATCCGTCAAAATGACGGGTCAATAATTTTTTAATTTACGATTATTTATATCGTAAAGATACATTTATGGGTTATTTATGTCGTCGAATTCGTCTTAATGTCGCGGCTACAACATTGTGGAATAAAATATATAGCGTGTTCAGCATAACGATCGCACCGATTTTTGAGGCATTTACGCTAATCTGATGGAAAAATGTTCGCGATAATAGTTAATGCGTTTTTTGAGGAAAACGAATTGCAACAATGCAAGTCTCGAAAAATTTGTTATCCGATGAAAAACGAAGGTCGTCTTGATTTTCTTAACACTAGATTTACGCAATCCGTCAAAATGACGGGACCGTCAAAATCACTAGTTTTTTAATTTACGATCATTCATATCGTAAAGATACATTTATGAGTTATTTATTCAACTTATATGTTACTTACGGCAAATGTGACAATAACACTTGTTAAAAATCAGTATAAATGTCTTACTGTTGCTGTTATAAATTAATATAAAACAGCTGTCTTTTTGTTCTCCGTAAATCTAGTGTTAACTTGCACCATGTACTTTTGGTAGTATAGCGTTATAGCTGACGAAGAGACGAATTCAACGACTTACTTCACAATGACCTTACTACACTAACGTGTACTTTAAATAAGAGATACAGATGTACTTTTAACTGTTTACATTCCTCTTCGAAGTATCCTTGACCCTTGAGTTACACGTATGTTTCATTAACGCGTAGAAAATTATTATTTCAATTGCTGCGAATTATTAAGCTAATGGTCATTCGAAGCTTACTATGTAGTAAGTTGTTGAATTCGTCTCTTCGTCACACACAGCTATAATACTATACTATCAAAAGTACATGGTGCTATTTAAAAAAGTCAAGGTTATCTTCGTTTTTCGTCGAATAAAAGATTTTTCGAAATTTTTACTCTTGCAATTTATTTCTCTCAAAGATCACATTAACTTTTATTCCAAACATTTTTTTGCGAGATTAGCGTAAATGCCTCAAAAATCGATGCGACCGTTACGCTGAACGTCCTGTCTACGTTTTAACATACAAAATATCAAAGTGACCTAGATTTTTATGGGACAAGAAATTCTCCCGAAATTTTATATATTGGAGTTTTTAGCTTTCCGGATACTGTTCAATTTTTGTTGGAACGTATTTTCGTCAGATTGGAAATTTGTGTCAATACTGGAGTACTTGCACCGCAAATCTGTGAAATATTACAGTTTAAACGATTTCAACGTTTCATTACCTTCTAGTACATTGCAATATATTTTTTTATAATTTAGAACATTTTTTCTTCATTAGAAATTGCGTGCTAAACTGAATTAGAATAATATAGAAATTATGTATTTCGAGGAAATCCTTAATATAGTCGTTGCAAAGAGATCATAGTTTATTAACAGAAAATACAACATTTGTAAATCGGTCAAAACTTGCTATTGCGTGTCACAAATGTTCTTAATACTTCAAAGAAATCCTCATCCGCATCTGTTAAGACTACTATGCATCGGGTAATTAGTGGAAGAGTAAGAAAAATCGAAGAATCTAATCGAGAAGTTCTAGTTAAAACGGACCTAAAAAGAAAATCAAATTCGATCACTGAACGAAAGGATGAAAGAAGCAACATCGAAGATGGCAGAGAAACGGGACGACAGTGTTTTTCAAGAAATAATTGGGCAAGCAGTCTTGAAAGATCGCGAAACGCGCGTCGAACGACCGTTCCGTGGATAGCGAGCTCTAGCCCCGAATTATAGTATTCGTTCGTATGTATATTTAACTAAGTACGTTGTTGCTCGGAGTACTTCGTTGCCACTGGAGGGCAGAGCCGCAATTATCCTAAGTGGGCAAACAGTTTCTCGGACGCGTTCGAGGAAGAGAAACGAACGCGGAGGCAAGCGAGCGTCGTATTCGAGGATCGACGGTGTTCGTCAAGTTTCGCGAAACCGATTCGTCCGATTTCGGATTAGAAAGGAAAACAGTATTCGGCTCGAGCCGAAGCAGCGCCGACCGACCAATGAGAACCGCGAGTTCTGGCCACAGTGACGCATTCTCCCTTTTTCAGGAAACTCGCGGTGTATCATTACCGTTCGAACGACGCACCGAGCCGCGCCGAGGGAGAAGAAACCGCGCGAGATCGCTGCGAGGCAACGACGGATCTCCTCTCGTCCTTTCTCTTTCGTCCATCTTCTTCCTTCGTCCGCCTACCTGGCCTCCCGAGTTCCTCCTCGAAAATTAACGAAACATTGACCATCGTAAAACCGCTCGACACGGATCCTGTTGGCCTACTTTCGCCCGGTCGAAGGAGAGCTTCGTCCTCCGAGGACGGAATCCGGCTCGTTCCTCGGCTCCACGAGTGTCCTGCGGGTTCCGACCGACTTTAGAATCGTCATACATGCTGGAAGGATACTCTCCTCTTTGTCAATAATTAATTAACGATCCTCGATCAATAGCGACGTCGATTACATCATGCTTCCGCAGGATCGAGCGACTCTTCCTCGCTTCTTCTTCCGTTCCAGGAGGATTCTTTTCGATCGAGTAGCGTCGAGATCACTGGAGATCACTGCCACATGTTTCGAAAACGCTGTCTCCATCGTTCCTAAACGATCAGGCATCGATGAACTAGTGTCGCGAGATCTTCTTAAGTTTAAGCGTATTGCTCGAAGATTACAACTATTCGCCCGTGATTTGCTTCTTAGACCTTGGGTCCCTTGAATCTAGAGTTGTCGCTCACCTTACTTTTCTTTTTAAAGTTTGCCGTAGCAATGTCTATTACGAGTTACTTTCACAAAATGTAAAATACGATCAGAAAGACGTAGAACTTTTGCTACAGATCACGACTCAGAGAATCGTATGCTACCATCTTCAAGATACGACTCTTTCGTACAGGTCTCGAACCATGTCTTCCGATCTTCAAAGACTGCCCGATGCCTCTCGTTTCGGCACCTCATCGACGGTGTCTCTTCTAAAGGCGGAAGAACAACCCATTCATAGACCGATCTCGAAGGATCATGCTCGAACGAATCGCCGGCAATGCAACCCTTCTGGATCCGAGCACGCGCCGAGGAAGACGTCGAAGGACACGTCGAAGAGCTTGCAGGTCGATCGGACAATCGCGAACGAAACAAACGCGGTTTCGTGATGCGTCGACCGTGTTCCGGCGCATTCCTTCGCGGAGGTTCCCCGAAGACTCGAGCTCTAATCAGTTCAACGGAAGCTCTTGCCCTCCTCCCCCTCGTCCCTGGCCCCATCTCGCAGGCCACGCCGCCGTCCCGTTCTCCTTATTTCGTCGTGCGCCCTTCGTTTTTTCCCGGCCCCTGGCCAGCTACCTTCGCGGAGTTTAATTCCGCAGTCCTCCGTTCCGTTCCGTTCCGTTGTTAAGTCGATTCCGTGTCGTGGCGCACACAGCCGATACGAAACGTTAGCTCGCCGCGAGAAACGCGCCGGGACGAATCGGATCGGCGCGCTCGTAGCGAGTCCCGTTTCGCGTGTCTCGTGACAGGACGCAATGACGAGGAGACCGAGCAACGTGTGCTCCGTTTCCGGAATATTGCCCGGCCGAAGATCGCGTTGTATACGCGTCCGCCTAGTCGCAATCCGCTCGGCCAACTTCCAGCAGAACTTCCCGACAGGCAATCTCTGCGAAACGTTTTTTGTTTCGGTGGCTCCGTGCACGCGTCTCCGCCGATGGATCATCCTACGGATATACAATATGTACGTATAATTGGCTCGGTATCGTCCAATCCTGTTCGGCCGCGTTATTGCGAAAGTTGCTGCGAAGGGAACTGGAATTTTGATGGGTCGCCGGCGAACACGATCTTAGGCCTTTCGACGGCAGTCAGAAATTAGAACGGTATTTGGAATTGTATTAGAGTGTCCCATAAGAGTTCTCTCCTTTTCTCTGATGCGAAATGATTACACGATATTTGTTGTTTAAGGTTGATTTATCGAGTTATACTCAATATGAGTTATACCGTGTATGAACCGTTATGCTCTATTACCTTCTTCCATCTTTTAGAAAGCCTCGTTATACCGTCTTGCCAAGAGTGTTGAGGCTTATTTGCAAAATATTGTTCAAGGTGCGTTTCTATTTCGCTTACGAATTTAAACCGTTTTTCACGGAGAGAATTTTTTCACGAGAAGAACAAGTAATAATCGGATGGAGCAATGTCTGGGGAGTACGGAGGATGAGGTATAACGTCCCAATTAAACTGCGATAATTTTTGTCTTACGACCAACGCAACATGCGGTTTTGCGTTGTCGCGATGGAAAACGACGCTGCGTCGGTTCGCCAATTCTGGCCGTTTTTCTGCTATGGCGGCTTTCAATTCATCGAGTTGATTACAATATTTAGCTGAATCGATCGTTTCACCTTGAGGAAGGAGCTCCTAGTAGACTACACCTTTCCAGTCCCACGAAATGCACGAAAGAACTTTCTTCGGATGAAGTCCTGACTTCGCAACAATTGAGGGACTATTTCTTTTTGACCAAGTTCGTTTTCGAGACACATTTTGGTATAAAATTCAAGTCTCGTCTCTAGTGACAAGCCTCTTTAGGAAAGTATTTCTTCCATGTCGTTGGAGAAGCAAATCGCACGTAGAGACGTGGTTCATAAGGCTGGTGTCAACGCCTATTGTCGGTGTGGAATTTCGAATCGATTCACACATCTCATCTCGATTAAATGCTTATGTACCGTTGACCTGGGCATGTTAGTGGCATCCGCTATCTCGCACACACTATATCGCGAATTTTCAGCGAGCATATCTTTGACAAGGTCCGCATCCGTTGTTGTTGGACAGCCGCTGCAGTCTTCATCTTTCAAATCATAATTGCCAGCTCTAAATCTCTGAAACCAATTGCGGACTGTCCTAATAGTCGTAGAATCATCATCAGTCAAGTCTCGTCTGCAGTGTACTTTGCCCTATCACTTTTTTTTTAAAGCAATGAAGCCTAACATGCCGCAAAAATATATATATACTTCTTTTGGCTATCCATATTGAACGGCGTAGAAAAAATTTTGTAAGGAATTTTGTCACCAACGAAACGTACTCTAAAAGAGCTCTGGGACGACTGCAACCGATACCCTAAACAGCCAAGAGATAAGTCTGTGCGTGTTTATATAAACACAGCCAGTTGGAGTCATTTATTGCGCGGCGCGGGAAGAACTTATGGGACACCCTAATATTTCTAATTGGCAGCGATTGTTCACCCAGAAAATGAAACGCTGCGTCTCGATATGTATTCGAATCTTCTCTGACATTTATCTGATTTGCACCGATTCTTACGTTTTCTCTGGTATCCTTGTCAGTAGACTTTGCGGATTTTCGCACAAAATAAAAATTTTCCAAGACGATTGCGAGGAACAGAAATTCAATAAAAATAAATTCTTTCCGTTATAATAAACTGATAATAGCGTGACTGTATTATTAAATTCTTCTTAGATGTTCACGATTTTATATTTCGGCTACATGCTTTTGTCATAAATGCCTAAAATACGCAGTCCACCTGTTATTAATAGATATTATTATATCTCGTTAGCATAATATACTTCCTCGACGTTGTTTCTAAAATACGTTTCAACTCAACATGCCAGATCGATCTGAACGAACGAATGAAACAGTTTGTTGCATCCTTCTCGTATAGAGTTATGTGTTTAATTAATTTCATCGATCTCGATTCCTGAGATAGATCGTAATAGCAATTCCGCGCACTTGCGATCCACAAGGAAATCAATAAAGTACATTAACAAATTCCGTGAGTTTCAATGAAGATTCCCCGAAAACAGGTGCGTGCTCTGCGAGCAGATAAATCAAAAGTACCGCCGAGGGATGTAGACAAGCCGAACACAATCGGTGACGATGCAGCTTGATCGCGGGAACACTTGGCAGAGATGGGAGAGCGCAGGTGGGGAGCATTTTGGGATGACTCTGCCATTGTTCGATGATCGAGCTTGATCGCCTGCGACCAGACAGTATCATGACTCGCTAAAAACCTTCGTTCCCGCTGCTGACTAATTTCCAGTCGCAACTTTTCCGTACATTTTCTCATTGTTGGAATTTCTAATTATTTTTTGGATACCGAAAAATATTCCTCTTCGCTCGCAGCTGATCGAAAAGCGAGGAGACTTCGTCGTAGATTATTCGGGCAGCTTTCTGGGCAGCTTTCTGTCGATTTTGCCTTCGTTTTTCCTACATTTTCCCTTTGCAGAAGTTTCGTAACTATTTTCTGGAAACTGGAGAATATTTCTGCGCCACCATTTCGTTCGCAAATCCATGGAAAAATATCGGAGCACGATTACAAATCAATTGTGATCGTTTCTAAACGCTAAACAGCTTTCACTTGATTTTCCCTGCGCTCCTCGCTCATCCTCCCCACGTAAATATCGCCAATTATTTTCCAATCGTTGAGAATCGTGTCGACGGTTAATTATGTTCTGGGAACAATTTTTCCCTGATATTTCCGCTGAAATCGATCCGGGCTCCGACCCGAGCCAATTTCCCTCGGTTTTCCGTTCATGGGAATTTCTAATTGTGTTCCGGGGACTGGGAATTATTTGCGCTCGACGGCTACGTTCCCGGTCGAAGAAGAATCGTCGAAACCCGGTTACAAATCGCTGGTAGCATTGCGTAACGCTTCGGGATGAGAAAAAGGAAGGGTCGGAGAGAGGGGAGAGAGCAGGAAGAGGACCGAGCAGCCGTGTGTATGCGTGTGTCCACGGTTGAATCGAACCAATCGGTCGGACCCCGTTCGAACATGCAAAGTCGTTGCTAGGCGTATGGAGAGTTAAAGGTGACGGGGTGTGGGGGGTCGGGTGCCGGGACCCCCCACAGCGAGCGGAATTGCCCCCAGCAGGGAGTTAAACATCCGACTTGCGGCTTTTAAAACAAAACCCAGCCACGATCCGCCGCCGCCGCCGGAACCTAGTCGTTTCGTGCTTAATCGTGCCGCATTAATTACGCGGACGCCGGTCGCCCCCCCTCCTCTCCGACTGCATTTTTTCCTCTCCGCCCCACCGCGGCCTCATCGATTCCTCTTCATCCCGGCATTTCCTTCAACTTGATCCTTTTTAACCCCTTGCCGTACCATTTTCTTCGCGGCTACGACGACTAGAAGTTTCTCGATTATAATAATCTCTTAGGGGAAGAAGAAAATTTATATTTATTGCGTGCTTACGTTTGCTTGAATACAGAAATATTGTCGGGAAGAGAACAGAATTTATTGTTGCTAGAACGTGAATTTTTATGCAAAATAAGGATTCTCTAAGGTAATGTTAAGATACGTAAATTGGATGTCTTTCCTGTTGTAATAATTACATTAAATTTAGAGTATGAAATATATACAGTAATGTCTCTCTAATTGACGCTCAGATTGTCCATAAAATTGGATAATTTGGGAAGAGGAGATGCGATTATTCGAGCCTTGCGGTTCGTTTTTATAGTTACGAATTGTCAACAATTATAAGAATGAGCTGCATAACTGAAATAATCGTATCTCCACTTTCCAAATTGTCCATTTTTGTACAGAATCTGAGCGTCGATTAGGGAGACATTACTGTACACAGATTCTTCCAATCTCTTCACAATTTTTGTTTTCAACCCAGTTATTTTGGTCAAAAATGCAGAAAATCTGCAGTCTGGTAATAACTTAGAACGGTGTCCTACGAAATTGAAATCTGGATGGGATACAGTGGTCCCAAATCGAGATACAGTTCAAAATCGTGTAGTTTTTTCGAACGTTCGAACGAACGAATATCCAGAACGTCTAGAAGCATGTTAATTACCTCGAAAGGAGTTAAAGAAGGACTGAAACTACTGGACGGTAAATGTCCGCTTTCTAAGCGCAACATTTAATTACGGTTATTCAATTAGCATTGTTTTTAATCGCGTCGAATTACCCAATTATTATTGGCAATTTGACACAGTTTTCATGTACACCGAAGAAGCCGTCTGTCCCATAGATCGTTCATTTAGTTCTGAACGACGCGAAAACTTGCCTCGTCCCATTTTAGGTTCTCGTTCTCGAAGAAGGAATTCGCGAAATTCGTTTCTTTCTAAGCGCAACATTTAATTACGGTTATTCAATTAGCACTGTTTTTAATCGCATCGAATTACCCAATTATTATTGCACACAAACTTTCGAAAGGAAATGCAACAACCCCCGTCCGTCCCTCGTGTCAATTTGACACAGTTTTCACGCACACCGAAGAAGCAGTCTGTCCCATAGATCGCTTATTTAGTTCATTAGGGAATAATCAACGTTAAAACTTGCCTCATCCCATTTTAGATTATCGTTCTCGAAGAAGGAATTCACGAAATTCGTTGTTCAATGTTCCATCTTATTCATTTTGTAGCATCGCGTTAGTTAGAAACTTCGCCTCGCCAACCTGCACACTGAAAAGGGTTTACCGGGCTTTCAACGGCAACAAGAAGAGTGATTAACAGACGGGAACAGGACACGGCAGACACGCTGTCGAAATCTTGCTGGATAGGGAGCACTTTCGATCAGCGAAAGTACGATTCCCCGAAACGTTTTGTTAAATTAGCGCGCGTCCTGTCCGCTGTTATAGCTGCCGAACAATTTGCGCAATTCCGGCCCGAAAAGAAATACATTTTGACGAAGATCGCGTGGACATCGCGGGTCCATTTTTGGGGGTACACATGTACGTCCTCGCGTTCAGGGATTCTTGAAAATGATTATATCCTGGCTGCGAGTCCCGGGTATCGTGTCATTCTCACTGCGACAGTGGCTCTCAGCCGCCTTCCTATCAGACCGTGTTGTGGTTTTAGGACTTTCGGGACGAGCGGACAGAAATTATGTTCATACGATAGCGTGAGTTTTGCTGTACATGAATCGGATATCGAATAAAAAATAGTAGACCACCCGTGGTCTTCCAAGGTCAGAACTTCTCTGTTAAGCAAATACGTTTTATATTTAATCGGTTGGATCAGAAGGTGATCCACATGCGAAATGATAGACCGTATAAATCAATTATCGGTAAGTGCAGCAACGTGATAAGTGATGCATAAATCGATAAAAATGAGGTCTGGCAATGTAATAAGTGCCGTATAAATGAATACAAATGAGTTTGGCAATATAATAATTGCTGTATAAATTAATCAAGATTAAATGCGACAATGTAGAGCTTGACTTCAGGCGATCCGTATGTAAAACAATTTACTGCATACGTCGATAAAGATTAAATCAGGCAATGCAACTATGTAACTGTCCTATTATCCGGACAGTCCACATTTTATTGTATATCGACTCGATACAGGTATTTACATGCATTGATAAAGTCCGCGTTTAAAAGAAGTTATTCCGTTTTGAATGACGCTCGAATATTGGTGCGAATCGTTCTACGAAATTCCCCTAAATTGCCTCCCACTCGGAAGAGCGAATGACTAGACGAATGGACTAGGCGATCAACTGTAATTAACGAATGAATCGCAGCTCGAGAAAATCGGCTAGAAAACGGGCTCGCATCTTGCCGGCGCGGCGTCCTTGCTTTTTACTCGATCCTTTTGACGCAATGTTGTCGATAAAACTATTGACCCTACTGACCTGTATCCGCGCTTCCGTGAGCCCGATCTTCATAGCCAGCTCCTCCCTGGAAGCAAAAACAATCGTTAGCTTGATTAACGTAATAGACGGAAAGTGCCGCGGCGATTCGCGAACCTACGTGCGTCCGCGAAAAAAAAACGCGCCGCATCTGATTGCGCGTTGAATCTTAAGAAAAGTTCGATCTCGGCCGCGTCGATCTCGCATTCAAATCCCTCACGGGAAAACAACTCGCTAATTGCCGCAGAAAAACTGAGAATTCTGCGCGACAGGAATAATCGCATACATTGATTAGGCTAATTAGGTTTGTAACTGCAGCAGAGCCGCCGCGCCGCTGCCGTCGTCGCTGATCCCGTCGGTGCTGCTGCCGTTGCCGCGTCGTTGCCAGGCAGCTATCAATTAATTACATTATGTCTACTGACATTATGCATGATTTTCAATTGAATCGCTGCGCTGGTGTGGAGCTGGCGTGACGGCTGCGGCCGTGTGTGCCGACTGTTTTCATGGCTGCCGCGGTGTCGCGCAGATAATATCGCCGGCTGACATATGTAATAAAAAGTATACAAGCATGTAACTATGTTCCCCCGAGGATACGCCGCGAATACGATTATTTCTAATAAATTGAACGATACTTCGCCGCGATCTCAAATCGATCGAGCCTTACGTAACGAGATCGCCGCGGCGTTTCCGCTTCGGCTGCCGCCGCGACCAGTGGTTCTCTCCTCTTTGTTAAACGGAACGTTGCGTCCTCTCCAAGGTACTTTCAATCGTGTCAATTGCGAAATCGACGTGTACAAACCAAGTTAGATGAAATTGCGATAAGTGAAACGGTCGGCAGAAGGCGCAGAAAATTTGTCGAAAGGTTTAGCGATTTAAGAATCTTCACGGAGTTCCTCAAGCACGAGGCGCCATCTTTTAAAATTTGCGGCGGCTTTGGGAACTAAACCTTTTCTGATTATTCAATCTTTAACGTGTTTGGAGGATGAGCGATGAACAAACAACGATAGAAAAGAATTTTGCAACAGTAAATAGTTTTCTTTGGATAATCTCTACAGTAGAAATAATAGTTAAAGATTGAAAGCACATATGGGGCCATCCTTTAAAATTTGCGGCGGCTTTGGGAACTAAACCTTTTCTCATTATTCAATCTTTAACGTGTTTGGAGGATGAGCGATGAACAAACAACGATAGAAAAGAATTTTGCAACAGTAAATAGTTTTCTTTGGATAATCTCTACAGTAGAAATAATAGTTAAAGATTGAAAGCACATATGGGGCCATCCTTTAAAATTTGCGGCGGCTTTGGGAACTAAACCTTTTCTCATTATTCAATCTTTAACGTGTTTGGAGGACGACCGACGAACAAACAACGATAGAAAAGAAATTTGCAACAGTAAATAATTTTCTTTGGATAATCTCTACAGTAGAAATAATAGTTAAAGATTGAAAGCATATGGGGCCATCCTTTAAAATTTGCGGTGGCTTTGGGAACTAAACCTTTTCTCATTATTCAATCTTTAACGTGTTTGGAGGATGAGCGATGAACAAACAACGATAGAAAAGAATTTTGCAACAGTAAATAGTTTTCTTTGGATAATCTCTACAGTAGAAATAATAGTTAAAGATTGAAAGCATATGGGGCCATCCTTTAAAATTTGCGGCGGCTTTGGGAACTAAACCTTTTCTCATTATTCAATCTTTAACGTGTTTGGAGGACGACCGACGAACAAACAACGATAGAAAAGAAATTTGCAACAGTAAATAATTTTCTTTGGATAATCTCTATAGTAGAGATAATAGTTGAAGATTGAAAGCATGTGACGCCATCTTTTAAAATTTGCGGAGATCCAGGGAACTAAAATTCTTCCGATCATCCAATTTTTATCGCATTTGGAAAATGATCGACGAGCAAACGATAATCGAACAGAAATTTGCAATGGATAATTTTCTTTTGATATTCTCCACTGTAGAAACAAGACGAGAATCTTGAGCGATATTTTAAAAATTTTTAGTAATAATAAATAGTTTCATTTAAACATTTTTCATAACAGTAACAACATGAAATTTTTCGGAGGCGATTGTAAAGATGCGAATAGTATGAAAAGACATTTCGAAAGTACAGTAATGTCTCCCTAATCGACGCTCAGATTGTCCACGAAAATGGACAATTTGGGAAGAGTAGATACGATTATTCGAGCTTTGCAGCTTGTTTTTATGGTTATTAACAATCGGTAATTATAAAAAACGAGCCGCAAGGCTCGAATAATCGCGTCTCCTCTTCCCAAATTGTCTATTTTGATGCACAATTTGGGCAACAATTAGAGAGAGATTACTGTACTTCGCACGACAGAAGACAGCATCAAAACATAATAATTTTTCGGATCATTCTTTCGTTTTCTTCCATCGTTATGGTGACTACCGACCCCATGGCGAACTATGCAAGGGCATGGGCATGGTGGTCTATTAAAAATCGCAAGGACAAAGCGTCGGTAGGACGAGACGAACACCGGAAACCGATCGTTTCCCGATCTCTAACGTTCCATCTCCGAAAGGCCCGATGATTACCGCGTGGAATCTGCGAATCCGTGTGTCTCTCGAGATGGGGCCCCGCGGGGATTCTCATCTCGCACGCAAATTGCCCAGATGTTCCACGAAATCGCAAGGAAATCTTGGTGATTATATCGCGGCGCCGCGGTAGCCGGTACACGAATCGATCGCAGCGATCTCGTGTTTAGGAGCACTCGAACGGACGCGATTCATCGATGGACCCGCGCGAAATTACAGGGACCTTCTCGAGGATCGACTGCCGAGTCGATTCGCGCCGTCTTTCGACGATTCATCACCGGTGTTCGTCGCGTCTATCCCCCTTTCTGGAGTCCTCGCCACACTCTCGATTACCTTAAACCTTGTGCGCTGGTTTAGCATGAAATCAGTCCGTGCAATTATGTTTCTTGCTGCAGACATGCATATTACGCGGGTAATTATGTAAAACTTCTTTAATTTCGAGTCGAAGTACAGTAATGTCTCTCTGATTGGCGCTCAGATTGTCCACAAAAGTGGACAATTTGGGAAGAGGAGATACGATTATTCGATTCTTGCGGTTCACTTTTCTAGTTACGAATTGTCAACAACTTTAAAAACTTTGCTGCAAGGCTCGAATAATCGTATCTCCTCTTCCAAAATTGTCCATTTTTGTGGACAATCTGAGCGTCAGTTAGAGAGAGATTACTGTAGATGGAAGATGCCAGCTGCTCGCGAAGCAGATTTTGGGGAAACTAATTTTTTGAGAAACGACAGCCGATCGAAGTCGAAGATGTGACTTTTGGATAAATTTCTGTCTTTAGTAATGGTAGGGCAAAAGTGTTCCGCAATTTACGCGGTACACTTTTAATTGAACGTATGCTTAAATTATAACACTAAACAGGAAATTATAACACTAACGGAAAATATAGTTTCTTAGAAGTTGTAAAAGTAGAAAGCGATACTATTCTAAGCCTTATTTTGTATTGGTTAATTTTAATATTATACTAATCTAATGTTTATAAATACAGGGTGTCCCAAAAATGTCTCTCAATCCGAGAGTGGGAGGTTCCTGAGGTAATTTGAAATAAGTTTGTCCTTGGCGAAAATGCAATCCGCGGCTTTGTTTACGAGTTATTAACGAAAAAGAGTGACCAATGAGAGGCGAGATCAGCTGCCGCGAGGTGGCCGACTCAACGGCGCCAGCGGTCGAGCAGGTCGAATCGCAGTTCAGCTGGCGCGAGGCGGCCGAGCCAACGGCGCCAGCGGTCGAGCGGTCGAATCCCAACTCAGCTAGCGCGAGCCGGCCGAGCCAACGGCGCCAGCGGTCGAGCGGTCGAATCTCAGCTCAGCTGACGCGAGGCGGCCGAGCCAATGAACGGAACTGGGCTTCGTGCGCTCATTGGCTCGGCCGCCAAGCACTAGGCGAGCTCGCCTCTCATTAGTCAGTGTTTTTCATTAATAATTCGTAAACGAAGCCACGGGTTGCATTTTCGCTAAGGAAAAAGTTACTTCAAATGATCCAAGGAACTTCTCATTTCCCGTTTGCGAGACATTTTTGAGACACCCTGTATAAGTGTATACACTGATTACCGAGAAGAAAACTTACGATGTGTGCTTTCTGCAAGCTGATTGTATTCGGCGATATTGAAACGAGATGAACGAGATAAAAATGCATTACAGTTTGCTAGTCATCTACGCTTACTTGCATAAAAAGGCATCGATCGAGACATTCTATTTGACGTTAAATATTTCAAGCGACGAGGATCTCGAGTTTGTGCCGATTAAAAAGAAAAAGAAAGAACAAAGTTAATTTTCGTTTTACGAAACGTCGTAATTAGCTACGTGAAATAAATATGAATTTCTAAAACTTACACTGGCTTTCATTTGTAATATTTTTTTTTTTTTGTAAATTAAGGGTCTGGTATTCGAATAAAAAATCTGTTTCCTGCAGTGCTAGATGATAGCCGTGAGATCATCGCTGCAAAGTTTCACCTAAACTGGTCCAACAGTTTCTGAGACATTCTATCGATCTCGGAAACTGCAGTTCAAGAAAAACACATTTTTCAATGTTGTTATTTTTGGAAACGGTGACGCTTGCAATTTTACGAATTCCTGAATGAAACTTTCGGAGAGTATCCTAGAGAACGTATAATATCTTAAACCTTAATTTTGTTGATTTATGTGTATAACCGCTCAATCTATGATCGATTTCTCACACGCGGAGTACTGTCTCGAGGCGATCTCGAAGGAACAGTCTCCTTCTCTCCTTCTCTCTCTCTCTCCTTCTCTCTCTCTCTCCTTCTCTTTATTTCCTTCTCTCTCTCTCTCTCTCTCTCTCTCTCTTTCTGTCTCGCAGCAAAGAGAGCCGAGAGAGGACGGGAGCACCTTGGCCTGCGAGTAATAATCATTCAGCCTTTCCCTTTTTCTCCGGCGCGGCGTGCTCTCGCGAGCAGCGTCCTTCTGGATTTAATAAGATCACGAAATTTTCCTTCTCTTTATTTCCTTCTCTCTCTCTCTCTCTCTCTCT